GGCTGCTAGTGGAGTGGGGGGTTGTGACAGGAGCACTTTGCTTCCAGTGAGTTCACATTATGGCACTTGGATCTGGAAGTAAAGTTCTCCAAAGGTCTGAGTTGCTTAGCTCCATGGGGTCAGTTTGGAGAGAATGCGCACAGGGCACCGACTTCAAATCAAGTGCCTGACACCGCAACATGCAGGTGTGTTGGGTCTCACCACTGTATTTCCAGTCCAAGAAAAGACCCACTCAGTGCATCTATACAAGACGTTTACTGCGGAGTTGCTTAATTAGCTCAGCAGTAAAATCTCAGCGTTTACATGTGCAGCCCTATTAGGCCACGGTAAACTAATAAATGCTGCTGTAGTTTAGTGCTTGTCAACACAAGTACTATCTGATGGCAGTGTTATGTGATGCCCTGCAATGCATGTGTAGACATAGACAGGGTGGCTGGATCACAAGGGTGCTTCGGTGCAGGGGCTGCCTGCCAACTAGCCCTGTACTAGAGCACCCTCATGCCCCAGCCAGCCCCTCTGTAGCATGCTGAGCCAGGTCAGAGCAGATCCAGGCTGGGAGGCTGGCCCCAATACCCCCTGCCAGCCCAGGCTGCTCTGGCCCGGCTCAATGTGCTCCAGTCTTGGGTGCACATGTAAACACGGCACCTGGGAGCAATAAACTCCAGTGCAAACTGCATTGGAGTTTATTCAATCAAATTAATTTCATGCACAGACACGCTCATTGATTTGTTCCTTGTCCTGCCCTGCTATGCTGGGTCGAAACAGTTCAAGCAATGCAGGGCTATCCAGCTATTCTGAGCCAAGCAATCATGGAGCATATCAATTGCTCCTCTGCACAGCTCTACTAATGTTAAGAGATTTGGTTCTAGGAGAATGGCCAGGCTGGGCCAAAGATCTAATACAGTCCCAGACCTGGGTGCACACGGCTATTAACGACCTGACAAACTAAAGGAAGAGAACAACTGGAAGAGCAAAGCTCAAGGCAAGCTTCTCAGCCCATTTGTAGCCGCTGTAAATCTTGTGCCACACTCTGAACGGGCTTTTATTGCTGTTGTTTAGAACTGGTAGGAAAAGAAAATGCTGACTTCCCCACCCCTAAAAAAATGACTTTTCAGCAAACTAGAAACCCTAATGGGAAAAAAATGCCAAAACACCCAAAATGTTTTCTAGTTTTTGAAAACTTGTTGGTTTGCAATAACCTGGAAAAAAAATTAATGAAAAAAAAGAAAAATTAGCTTTCTTCAAAAATGTGTTTCCTACCAGACTCTTTCCTTTGTTGGCATTGTGGGAGTTCCCCGAGCTTTCTGCTGGGCTGTGCACACACATATAACAAACAAGGTCTGTCCCATAAGGTTTATGCGTGCTTTACACTGGAGTCTGAAGCAGGAGTACACCTAATTGCCAGGAAGTCAAATGGAATAGAGGGCTGCGTATTCTCTCCAGGCATAGTACTAGATAGTGGAATCATTTCAGACCTGAGTAGCCAAAGGCAGCTATTAGGAAGGCTATAGCACAGCTGTAAGAGACAGTTACTGGTGTTTTCTATTGCATGGCCATGTAACTGAAATCAAAACAGAACAAAAGTGCCATTGACCTGAACAGAGATGCTGAGCTGATGCGTCACAGATGGCCCTGAGATTAGTTACCTCGACTTGGAGCCTTAATAAAATATTTGGAGTTTGGGTTTTTTCTTGCAACTGGCACGTTTTGCATAACACATTGTTAGATGATATCAAGCACACAATAAGGGCCCAATCCCAGGTGTGGCTGTATCACAGCAACGCCATGGACTTAGGTAACATTTCACAAGTGTGACTAAGGCAGGATTTTGCCTTAAATATGTACCACAGGCCAAACCGTCTGGTCTAAGATATACCCATGGAAGGCACCTTATAAACATCATAAATAAATCACATAGAAATGCTGTAAAATTCTCTTCTTACTTTTCAGTTCATGTGGCACAACTCCTGAAATGTGGCTAGTCCTTCCTTGGTAAAGAGCCATTCACCGGTTTGTATGTTTTACCTACAGGCAAAAGTGTCCCATCTTTCCAATCTCTCTTCATATAAACATTTTTCTAGGTACTTGATCATTCTCATTAGTCTTTTCCATGCTCCTCCTAAATCTGCAAAGTCCTTTACAGATGGTCAGTACTACATATGTCAGCCTACATAATGACAAAGCACTGAAATATGTATGCATATTATTTTCACATAATTCTCCAAACCTTATTTGCCTTAAAAACAATTTGTTGTGGGTCCATGTTGAGTTGTGTAGCTTTACAGCTGCTGAGATTCTAACCCTATAGGTGGGCAATTATTTTGGCTGGAGGGGGGGCCTTAATGAGTTTTGGAAACCTGTCAAGAGCCACATCTATCTCTGTCTTTCTGTCTCTTGCTCTGTCTGTCCGTCTGTCTGCATCTGTCCATCTTCCTCTCCTCTCCCTTGCTGCTTTTCTCTTCTCTCTCTCTCTCTTCTCTTCAGAGGAGAGGAGAGAAGAGAGGGAAGCTTTCCCTGTGTCAGGCGCATGATGGGTCAATTGTGGATGCTGCCAGCAGATTCTGTATTCAGGCTCCTGAACCTGCCCACGGCATCCACAGCTGATGCTGCCACCTGCCCGCTGTAGCAGACACCCTGCCCGGGTCCACAGCTGATGCCCAATGCTGCTGAGCAGAAGCAGTCCTGCTTGCCTGCCCGCCTGGCATAGAGCTACCAGCCACCTGTGAGCCAGCTCCTGTGAGCTGGCAGTCATCCACCCGCAGGCTGGATCAAATCTGGCCCACGGGCCATATTTTGCCCACCCATGCTAGAGACCTATTTATGAACTCCATTGCAATAGAGACTCAGTCATGAATAAGCATGTAGATGGTCTCGATGAGTCCCAACAGATATCTGTACATCAGCAGTGTTGCTTCTAATTCTTTTCCGGGTGTGGAGCAAGAACAACGTCAGATCCCCTTCATTTATGCTTTATGAAGCTAGCAAACCTGAACCTATTCTTAAATGCTTAACCTGCTATTTATTTAACATTCACAATAATAAAAACAAAATCCACCCATGAAGCCCTAATGAAATGCAGAGTTAAGTATTTTTAAGACAACTCATTTAGAGTGTCACCAAATATTTTTACATAGCATAAATTAGCGGCTGTTAATTTGAACCCACTGGGCATTCTTCCAGCGGTTCGTCAGGCAGACAAACCGCAGTGCCATGCAGGCTTGCCCACCACTGATACAAACAGCTCGATATCCTGTGCCTTTTGATAATGCGGTCGAGCACTAAGAGATGAGATGCTCCCATCAAACGCAGTGCAAGTCAAAGGGAGGCAAAAGCCTTGAAACTCTCCAGGCAGCAGAGATAAAAAAGCCAAATGAAAGCCAGCTCCCTCTGAGCCCTGCTGTATAAGAGGTGTTTACCAAAATATGTATTGGAAAATTGGTGCCTCCAATTGCAGATAAATAGCTTATTAAGTAACTGGAGAATACGTTTCTCCATGTAGTTCCTGGAAGCAGGACCACTAATGATTTCTAAGGAACTGTATCCCCACCCCCAATCTAGGCACGGAAATAGCAATCTTCCCTGTTAAACAATCATTTTAAAAGCTATTTCAATAGAAGCAGCAATTTTCCACCAGTCTAGTGCACGTTAAGGGAAAAAGGAAACAAGGAAAGCCAAACAGAAGAAAGTGAGATTTTTACAGACAGCATGTTTCATTTTTAACCTGCCCCCCCATCCTATTCACACTTTTAGCTCGATATAAGCCAAGATCGCCACCACCCCTTGAGCTCTTTGAGCTTTCTATCCACTGGTATTCATGAAAACCTGGATCCCCGCTGTCACCCAAATAGTAAGTACTCTGCAGCTGCCCTTCGCTATGGTGACTGCTCATTCACTCTCGTCTCTGGAAACCATCCAAAAGGAGACAGGATGGGTGATTCTGCCCCATGCACCTCGCCTGTCTTCAGTTTAAGCGGCATCCCTTTCAGGATCCGTTCTCCTCTCCCCATCCTCAGAGCTTTCCTTTACCATGCATCTTGTGTCTGGCTATTTTTCACTTTGATTCTGCCTTAAATCATCCTTCCTTCGTAAACCAACTTGCCGTCACCCCTATAACTTCACCTTCCGCGGAGACGTCTCATGCTGCCTCTTTGACACTGAATCCTGAATCAACTCTTGCATTTGCCAAAGTGGCCATTCACTCAACTTTGCTTTTATCAGGCCTTGCTCCTTTTCTTCTCTCTCTATTCAGTTTATTGTTAGCATCCTGGCATTTTCCTGACAGCCACAATACTTTACACTTCCACGCTGGCCTCCATCAGAGGAACGCACGGCTCTTAACTATCACTCAAAAATAACCCTTGGCAGGGAGATATTGTCATATTCAGCTGGGAAGAACGAAGGGTGAAGTAACACATTACACTTAGACCATACTGAGGGCACTTAAAACGCAAGTGCCCACACATGAAAGCTTGTTAACTTGTACTAAGTGCCTTTTGAGTGTCTCAAAGTTATGCCACTTCAAGCAAGGGTTAACTCTGGGCCATGCTGCCTACCTTGTGTTAGGGTAACTTCAGTCTGTTCCACACAGATAAAAAACAATTTCAGTCCTCCAGCATCCCAGGGTGCACCGCTCCCTGCTCTCCCCCTCCACCCACACACACTCGGAGCAGCGCTAGTGATCTGGATCCTAGACACCCCTGCTCAACAGCCCTGTAGTGGGAAGTCAAAGCTGTTGCTCACCGCACGAAGTAACTTTAACACCGCTTCATAGTCCATCGATTTAGTATGTGCAGCATGTAATTTCACCCTCAATTAAGTCACTTGACCAAAGCTACACAGTAGTAAATCTGTGACGGACAGGTACTAACCTTGCATCTTCCCCCTGCCTGTTTCATACCTGAAGACTATCCATCCTCCCTTAGGCAGAAGCAACGAGGCTATACAGCACAGGATCCGCACAGCCTCAACCCATGCCACATTCACATATTGCATCAGCGTACCTGAATGAAGATGTACTCGTCCTGGACAACCAGCGAGCTGGTGTCGATGGAGCGCAAAAATGGCCCGCTCCTGGTTGTCTCCGAGCACTCCTGGATCCGGCAGGTTATGTAGTGGGCATCTGCAAGAGGAGAACGAACAGGCTCACATGAGAACCATCTGCCAGGCTGAAGGAGGGCTCGGGTCTTAGCCCTGGCTGGCATGCAGCATCTTCGCCAGCCTGGACGCGAGACTTATCCGTGTGTTTCAGTTTCACGCTTCAGAGCTGAGGCTGATTGCGGACTGAGCCGGGAGGGACTTCCAAGGTTCGTTGGGACTACTGTATGTACCAGTTAGGGATTTAGCCTATTGTTGGTGATTGAAAGAGAACGAAGGAGACAGTTGCTCTACATGCCCTATTGCTTGCTACCGCAGGAGACTAGACATTGGGCTTGACGGACCTTGCTCTGACTCAGTACAGCAGTTCACAAGCACTGCACGGGCATCTCTCCAGGGCTCTTGTCCCTGGATGCTTACTATAAATGCAAACAAGCAGACAAATCTTATTAGGCTAAAAGAAGAGAAAATGATATCCCTCCAACCTGCAGAGATAGGTTTCCCCCCTTCTGTCCTGAGCGCTATTTGAACACATCTCCAACCTTCCCAACTTGCCGTGGGGAAATAAATCAGCTTTAAAATGCACACTGAACATTTATTACAGCTAGCCTGCAGGGAAACAAGTGTGGCCCAGGTGCTATCCTACCACAGATGTCCTGCTGCCTCTCATTCAGTCCAAGAAACCATGAGCTTTGGGATGAGAGCTGAGCTAAGCTGTGGCGTTACCACACAGGGACAAAGAAATCCAGAGGGAAGAAGACAATCAGAAACTAATCCAACCCATAAGCGAGGATGATGCTCTCCTGAGCACGGAAAGCTCAGACCAGGGTTTCAAAGCTGATGTGGAGGGCAAGGAGGAGTCGGAGAATTGATTTGGAGAAGACCATCCCACAATCTGATCACCGGCACGCTAGGTACTTTCTGTCACTTCAAAGCAATTTGCAAGCGTAGCACCGTGCAAGTCATTCACGGAAAGGACGTGCACTTTGCACTGGTGTCTCGGATGGGAAAAGGGAGGCACAGCATGCCCTGGCCAGCATCACTGGCAGGCACTTCTGGACCCCACCATCTCCCTTAACAGCAAGGCTCTGGACGTTAAGCTGTTCCCTGCCCTTTCATCCTGAGGATGTCGGGCGGACCCAAATCAAGGGGATCTGGCCATTAGTATGCAGGTGTGGGCTGACCAGTGCAATGGGAAAACAAAAGAAAAAGAAAAGGAAAGAAAGAAGTCAAGGAATGATTAATGTTGTAGTGAACACCCCAGGCTACACGAACCGGTACTCTGCTCCCTTGACGGCATCCCTGATGCTCATATTTACCAGCTCACTTATCTTCTGAGGGGAAAGGTGGAGGGAGAAAGGAATAAGTGATCAAACAAGCAGCATTTTCATCTTGGAGGCAGGGACTTTATTCACAGGCCACGATCTAAATGCTTGATCAAGACAGTGGGAAATGCTGACACGCAGAGATGCGCAGGAAAGCACAGCTTTGCTGATGCCGGCCTCTTGCTCTCCCGAGCACAGAGGTAGGGGAAAAAACAAACTAAGCACTTCATGGAGACATTGCTGGAAATGTCGCTGTCTGTACGCTCACAGTGACTCCCGTTGAGTTGGCTGCTTCTTTACCTACTGTACTGATCGGCTGCCTGTGTGGGGGAGCAAGGTGGGGAAAATCATTAAAATTTTCCACCCAGGGAGAAGAGAAGACCAAGGGGGATTGAATAGCAGCCTTCAAGTCCCTGCAGGAGGTTTGCAAAGAGGATGGAGCTGGGCTGTTCCCAGTGGTGGCAGATGACAGGACAAGGAGCAATGGGCTCAAGCTGCAGCAAGGGAAGTTGGGGTTAGATATCAGGAAAAACTCTCTCACAAGGAAGGT